AGAGTTGAGAAATTTTTCTATTATTTCTTCTATTCTTCCTTCACTAAGTTTCTTTGTATTGTGGTACTTGACACGCTGAATTGGGCATCTGGCACTTATGACACTTTTTTTTAGGTTGAGCGATATTTCTTTCTTTTTTTTTTTTTTTTTTCAATACGTTGATTAATAGAAAAAAAATTTTTTGTTTCGCGAGACAAAGTGGTTTCCGCACACGAGACGGACCGTAAAAAATTGTTGTCTGTACCCCACTTCTGACACCAGCTAATTACGTGGCTTTCTCAGTGCAGAAATAAATAAAAGCGGAACTTGTGGTTAACTTATACTTTGTTAGCACTACTTGCATTTGAGGGAACCTGCGCGGGTCTTTCAGTCTCATGGGTCTGGTTCTTTCGCTCTCACGTCTAGCAGGGACGCACGCATGCATAGCTATATGCTATCGTACGCAACACTTTCAATGAACTATATAAGATGAAGTAAAAAAGTTATTTTTTTACAATGTTATTTTTTAACTTTTAAATTGTAAAGACGGCTGAAAAAAAAATTTAGGTATGTATTTTTTAAAAATCTACAATTTCCTTTCCAGCCCAGATGGTAGCGAGTGCATCAGAGAATATCAGAAAAAGACAGGTGACTGGTGCGTCAAGCCAAGGAAATAACCAAGGAGACAGATATAAAAAATGCTTCTGATGCAATAAGTTTGGACATAGAGTATCAACCTGCCCCCTGGCTGCATACAGCCTGTGGTACTGCTTTTATTGCCAGGACTTGGAGTACCATATAGGGAATGGTCACCAAAACAAAGACAATGCAAAAGATGGGTATGTTAAATCATACGTTTCTAAAACCAACAGTATCAGAGGCAACAATACGAACAGAAATGGTAATGGTGGTAAGGGTAAGAAAAGAACTGAATGTAAATTTGAAGGTTACAGCAGAGTGAATAAGAATTACCCAAGTAAAAATGACCAAGATAGAAATCAGAAGTATTAATTTGAATCAATGCTAGCAGGTAATTCCAAAATAAGAACAGATAATTCCAAGAGAACATTTATAGCAGATTCTGGAGCGACGCATCAGATTGTGGAAAAGGGTTTATTTCTTCAAAATTTTAGAAAAACTAAAAGTGAAATTACTAAAGTGCTTACCAACATACGCATGCTACTATACATATAGATAAAAGAGGTAAATTAAATTTAAAAACAGATTCAAAGAATATCATTAAACTCAAAAATGTGATTGTTGCAAAGGACATCTCAAATAACCTCATTTCACTACAAAAAATTTGCGGATCTTACGGATATAGGAGTAAGGATATATTTAGATGATGAAAAACTGTAAATATTTAATAAAGACACAGGAAGACCCTTTATAACAGGTGTATACGAAAAACAAAATTGGGTTATAAAACTAGTGGCAAAAAGACATAAAGACCATAATCAGACAACATGCTATGATGAATACTCATACACAGCACAATAAGAGGCGGTAACTGATATCATGCAACAATCCCAGACGGATGTTATGGACCTGATGAAAAAACAGTGTTCATAAAATTTAACAAACTCAGAAAATTAAAATCATCTATCTGGGATTGGGACGGAAAGCATGATTCACCAAGTCAGATACAGATTAAGAAGAAAACTCGGAGATAAACTATCAAAAAATTGAAGACAATTACTTGGATCAAGACAACTTAAACTCAGAAGAAAGTATGTTAATAGAGATTCTAATTGAAAGTAAAGACAGAAAAGAAAAAAACAAAAAACTGATGTAACATATTAAGGTGGGCCATGCTTCTCAATAACACTTACAACATTTATAAAAAAAAGTTCAACTGGAGTGAATTTTGACAAATCAATACTAGATTGTAAAATTTGTATCTTAACTAAAATGGAAAAACTGCCTTTCTTGAAAGTCGGAGTGAGAGCGCAAAGACCTTCAGAAAAAATACATGTAGAAACAATGGGTCCAATTAAGCCGATGTCATACCCAGGAGAAAAGATATTTATAATTGTTTTCATAGATGATTACTCAAGGTATGCTACAGTGTACTTAGTGAGGTACAAAAACCAAGGAGGAGAGTACCTAGACAATTACTTGAAACAAAAACTGAATCCGTAAAATGAAAAAGCATGCTTTATCAGATCAGATAACGACATTCAGTTATGGTAGTTTTTCAGAAATTATGGAAAAAGAGAATATGAAGGAGATTGTCACCCCCACACACTTTAGACTTTAATAGAACGTCAGAGATATTTAACAAAACTATTCAATGAAAAGTCAGAGCACTTATTCTGGACTCAGGTCTACCTAAAGGCATGCGGTCCTTGGCAGTAGAAGTGGTGGTAGATATACACAACCACACAACAAACAAGTCAATAAAAGGACTAACTCATACAAGTAAGATACAAGGTATTGGCTGGAAGCGATCCAAGAAAAATTCCAGTCAAGGGAAGAAAATCATGTATGGAAAACAGTGAAAAAACCTTCTTTGGATAAGAATGGTGAAAAAATTCACACCATAGACTCCAAATGAGTCTTAAAAAAGAAAACGAACTCAAATGGTAACATCACATATAAATAAAGACTTGTCATCCAAGGTTTTAAGGACAAAGCTGCATAATTATAAGCTCAAAGAGATATGTGCTCTAATATCTAGATTGGTGATTGTAAGAACGGCATTTGCAGTGATAAATAAGTATAATTTAGAAGTATGTCAGACACTTGTCAAGACCGCTTTTCTGAACGGCATTCTAGATTAAGGTATTTATATGGAAATACCAGACGGTGTAGAATGTGATTCAGAATTCAAAAAGAACAATGTATGCAAATAACAGAAGGAACTTTATGGACTCCAAAAAAGTCCTAAGCAATGGAATCAGAGATTTTTTTTAGAAGTTCTGAATCTTGGTCCAAAAAGAGACGTTAATGAACCGTGTCTATTCGCTTGGTACAAAAATAATCAAATGTTGATTCTAGTACTATACATCAATAACGTCATTGTCGCTGGGAATAATATGAACAGAAAAATTGACATGAAGACCAAACTAAAATCAACATTTAAAATGACAGACCTAGGAGAAATGAACTGCTTCTGGGGCATACAAATTGAAAGAGACAAGGAAAACAGTACCTTGACATTTTTACAACCAGAGTAAGTAGAAAGACTTTTAGATAGATTTCAGATGAAAGACAGTAAACCACAGATAAAATATTTAGATATCTTAGAGATACCACAAATTTGGGCTTTGTACTTATAGGTAAAAGTGAAGAGTATTTAGCAGTAATAGACAACAGCTTCAGAGATTAAAAAGATTCAACCACAACAGCTAGATATATTATAACATTTTTTAAAGATACTGTAATGTAGAGAAGTCATAAACAATCATATGTTACCCTATCCATTTGTCAGGTGGAGGACCTTGCAATGAGTGATGCCTGTTAAGAACTGGTATCCTTAGACAAGGAAACAAGAAATATGATTGGTAAAACAATGTATTCTGTTACTACATGGTACGATAACCAATCTGCTATCAAATGTACTTAGATAGATGGAAACCAGGAACGGAAAAATTTCAGTGACAATCTAGATAAAATTAAAAGTCAGACAAAAAACCATGAGAAATCCGTCATAAAAAAGTCACATGGCTAAAATTTATTGAAACTATATAAAAGCATGTGTTATAAAAAACGAAATTCTAGTAAATTGACTTCCTCCGTCAAAAAATAAAGTTGACATGTTGACAATTCCTCTACCTCTCAAACATCATAACTACCTTAAAGACAAAATACTGAGCATCTAGAAAAAAAACTGCACAAAGTTATCTTCAGACGACACATATAAAATTTCTGTTTCAGATATGTCAAAACAAGAATAGAATAAAAAAAAAGATGAAGAGATGTTAGACACTTAAGAGTAGATTTAATGATTACAAAAAAAAATTCAGAGTAAATTAAAGTTCAGATTTTTTTTCGATCGACACGAAGGCAGGAAGTGGTATTTCAGAGTTTGAGTTTTGTGCCGCTTGATCAATGGATCAGAGTTGTTCTCTGACGGAGACTTTGAAAGGTGCCATGTGTGTTTAGTCCTAAATATGTATGTGGGTGCTGCTCTGCCGGTTACTGTGGCCAAGCCACTTCCTGTTTGATTCTTCCTACCCTTGAAACTTCTTGTAAAACTAACTTGGACAAAAGAAATATAATTACCTATCTTATAATAATACATCAATATTATTTTTATACAAACTAAAAATACTTTTTTCTAATTAAGTATGTGCCTCTCATGGCCTCTCGTGGCCTCTCGTGATATTATAGGGTGTATATTAACTGCACTTTTAAATGTAATGCATTATGCACGCATGTTACCACTACTTTATCGTATACATGTATACGAGACTAATGAAAAAAGCAGGTATAACAGGAATGTCTTCTACGGTTAAGATCACTAGCATACCATATTAATGTGCTCAGCTAGTGATCGAGAACGAAAAGAGTTTGATCCCTTTCTTTTAATTCCTGCTTTTTCCGTATTTTCTAACAGATGTGTATGATAAGGTAGTGTATACATGCGTGCATAATGTATTATATGGGAAAGTCTAGTTACTATATACCCTATAAAATCAAGAAATTCCTAACATCTCTACGTTTTAAAAACTTAAATAAAACGTGTAACAAGACTCTTTCATTATGTTAATATAAGTATACAAGTATAGACACTAATTAAGAACTTTACTTTAAACATATAAAAAAAGTTGGAAAAGTTATGGTTTAATAGTGTTTAAAATTTTGGTATTCCGGTAGCAAAATGACAAAAAAACACTGGTTTCAGAAGTACGGTTCCGTACTGAATAAGATTATTCTTATTATTCTATTATTCTTGGTAGGATAAGATCTTTTTTTTTTGTAATCTAAAGCAAGTTCATTGCTCTAATTAACTATACTTTAAAATATATTATAAATAATACTGTACACTGTCTTGGATTGCTATAACTAAGACTTACTTGAATGCTAGCAATGCTGGTAAACTGATGAGAAGCAGTGATTAGGGTGTTAGCCTCTACGTCAATGAGGGCGAGTAGCAAGTAACGCCAACCACGAGCTCTGATTACCGAGAATAAGCCATTACCAGCACCACGGCTTGACATCCATGTTGTGTATACTAACAGCATCATCATATAATGTGGCAAATTTTGTCCTACAATCATCGTAAAGAAGTATTATTCTAAGGTTATTATTTTTTAAGCTGTCATAAAAATATTAATAATTCAAGTTAAGGATTGATAATCACATATGTGTAATGGAGGATTATAAAAGTAGGATTTTATAGTACACTAATTCCAGATTATAAAAAAAATTGCACTGTTTAGATTTTCCTGTTTAATTAATCACTGTCAAATCTATGTACTGCTACTCTCTGTACAGGACGTCAATACTTGCTTGTTGAAGTTAGATAAATAAAATCAAACAGCCCAGTGGCTTGCAGTAGTTTTTAATGACTCATGTATAACTGATTGATGACTGAATCGAAGTTGAAAATAGTTCTCAAATTTTTGCCAATTTTTATAAGTATTTATACTGAGACTAAAAAATCGTATCGTAATCGTAAACGAGCGAAATTGGAGCGTGTGTGTGTGTATGTGAGTCAGGAGGCATATTGAGGGAATTGGCATATAGAAGGGAAGGAGAAGAAAGTGAGGGGGAAGGGTGGGCGAGGTGGTAGAGACAGGTTCAAGTGGGAAGGCAGTTAGTATGCATGGAGAAGGCATGGTCAATTGGTTAGCGACACGTTGGTTTGTTTTTGGCGGGACAAGAAAAGGGCAGCACGCAACAAGACCAGAGACACGACCTGGCGGTGGTGCTGTTTGTTTTTGGGAGTGCCGTACACCAATCTACGCGATCACATCGACGTCGAAGTCGCAGTCAGAATCGATGGTTGAACTGTGGTAAGGGTTCCTCTACGGCGAGAGGTTGTGCTGCGTCTTGTGCAACTATGTTGTAAGGCACGAATTGACGTAAGTTTGTACCCGGTTTTTTGTGTGTATTGTTTTATGTAGCCCGAGAGTAGCTGTCTTCAGCACCGTCTCTCAGCGTCGAGTGATAGCGGCACATGACTGCACAGATTTGAATTGTAGAAACACCACCGAGTGGTTCGTTAAACGTAGCTAGTAGACGAGGTCCCTTGTCACCTCGAGCGGTGAAACCGTAACACGCTTCTGAGAAGCATAGTCGAGACAAGGTTGACGACACCACTGAGTGGCGTCGAAGTTCAGCCTTGGACATCATCTTCGACTGATGATGTACGTAATCGCATGCTAGTCAAGGTAAGGTGCGTAGCACGAAGCACCACATGCCATACCCTATTCACGTATATATACACTTAATTCGCGTTGCCTCATATATATACGATGTTACAGGCTTGATGAGTAGCTCAATAAGGCGGTGATTCCATGCGTGCTACATGATACGCTTCAATATTATATTGTTTTCTTTGGATAATTGATGTCAAGACAAATGTAAGTGAGTGTCAACTTGTGACAGTGTTACAGACAAATAAATAATATGATATAACAACCTTTTTATTCATTGCCCTGCATTTCACAGGGAGAGTCAGTTAGACAAATACGGTATTATGCATACTAACTCCAATAATTATTTAGGCCTCTAACAGACGTCTGAAGCGATGGTGAACATACTACAAAAACAAAAGTCTTTTTGTTCATGCCATAGCTAAAATATTATTTTTCATCTTTCCAAACCGTAAAGTTTGATCTGTGCGTCCTTTCAGTCAGACGTTAAGTATTACATGTAGGTTCAGCCGTATAATTTTTTTATGTCTGCTACGTGAGGCGCTTCTTTAAGATTTGTGCTCTCAAAAATATTTCACGAAGTATATAGGCTGGCAACTTATTTTTTTTTTTTTCGTATATGGTCAGAGCATTACTGAATAACTGTGAGAATACGGGACAAGATAATATAATACATTAAAAACAAATTGTACACATCCCTTTAACTAAGAGTGAGCTGCGAATGGTCACGTGTAATAGTATGCAAAGAGATATTTTATACATATCTATACATTTAATGTTGTTATTTGTCATACGTAAACCGCGACGAGGATAGCAGTAATTGCAGTTTTTTGATACCCTCTCATTGAATCCGTACATAACTAAACTTTTTGTTTAACTAAACGAATGCTACAGGTACGTGGTAGCCTCGTACAGTAAGGTAAATATCCGTATGGTGAGGTAACATCCCAATAATGAGATACTTAAAAGTTAATTAATTTATAAAGTATGAGAAAATATTCCAGAATAAAAAGAAATTATATCAAATCATATGTGTGCAAGCAATTACTACGCTTTTCTTACAAAACCGTAGAAAGTATAAAATATTTTTTTTTTAATGTCAATTGAAACTCTGCAAATGTAGTACCATAAGATATATGAAGTACAAAATACATTGACTCTTATCACTATTAAGTTTTTCTTAACTGAATTTAATTTTTTGTAAAATTTCGCTTAGACTTACAAGTATTTAGATAATTCAAAGTATGATGAAAAATCAAAATCAATATATTTAATGCAAATTTTTTATTTACAGTCATGTCTCAACATACGTACACACAAGGCACTTTATGTCGGTCACAACAATTTGTCTACACATGGTGTATGGTTGGGAATTCCTTAACCCAACGTCATCCCACAGTTATTTTTTATGTTTTTTTTAATGTGGTTCACAGTTTCAAGGGATAATATGATAGAGCTCTTTCACTTATAAGAATATACTGTTTATTCAGAAATACACATTGACAAGAATACATAAAAGAGCTTATAGCTAAAATTTATAAAAGCATAAAAGAGTAAACGCCTGTTCTATCGATTTAAGTTGTGGCTAAATTTTTGAATATTGTGGTAACGGAGCGTAACTGATTATTTATAATAATTGGTAAATTAGTCGACGTTTCGGGGCCCCGTGAAAGAGGTAACGTTCGTTCGTTACTAATACAAAGTAAAACCTCTTGCTAATCTCGTTCGTGAACGAAGACTCGTCAGCCAGGGTACCACGATGGCTGCGAGAATCGTGAGCCACTCTCAATCGAACAAAAAGCATCGAAGCTACGGGTGTCACCTTACGCACCGAACACGACAGATCATGAGAGGTTTAGACCATGTGCTTCTTCTCGCTACGCAGCAAGAACTAAATCAGATTGCGCAGTCGATCAAGCTCGGCTTGGCACTGCCGAAGGCTCCCAAAGTGAGACACATATGCAGCTAATTCACACACAGGTGTACGCTGGTGCCCTGTACGATTTATACAGTTATATTTCTTCCCTGCGTAGTGTCTCATTTTTTGCTATAGATACATACTGTACATGCTCTCCCTCATGAGAGAACATGACTAATTACAACTAATAATTTTTGCTTTGTTTACATTTGTTTTTTATTACAATGAAGACTATTTTAATGGTGCTCATCATTTTGATTCGAGATTTCAAAGTCCTTCTTGGTATCGAATAAAGGACAAAGTGTCTCTATATTTCTAAAATATACACCTTTCTCTGTCTTCACCAAGACCACTCTCACCACTCCGTCGCCTCTTGGATGAACTTCCACCACTCGCCCCATCCGCAACTGAATACAAAACTCGTTTTTATCGATTAAAAGGACTACCACGTCCTTTTCAATATTTATATCTGGCTTAAACCATTTTTGCCGCTACTGCAGTTTGGTCAAGTATTCGATCCACCACCTGGGCCAAAAATCTTGTTTGGATGTAGTTATCATTTTCTAGCAAGACAAACGATTATCTGGAACAGAAATTACATCATTCTCCGGCAGCATCGTGAATACTCGTCCTATTAAAAAATGAGGAGGAGTTAAGGGTATAGGGTCATTTGCGTTCGTCGAGATCGGGCATAGCAGTCGTGAATTAAGAACAGCCATGATTTCGTACATGAAAGTCGAGAAAATTTCGTACGTGTACGAACGATCGCCGATGACTCGTCTTAAATGATTCTTACATGACTTTACCACTACCTCCCATGGATTCTCGAAGACAGCGGTGGATTAAAATGCCATTAGATTTTTTGAGCAAGAGCAAAATCTGATACTTGAGACTTAAATCTTCCTGACTCTAAAAGAATATATAACTCACAAAGTCTACTGCTTGCTCCAACAAAATTAGTCCCATTGTCCGAATAGACATGGGCTGGTGAACCACGGCAGCTAATGAATCGCTTAAGGGCATTCAGTATATCAGATGGAGTTTCTACCTTAGCAACTTCCCTATTTTGATGAATTGTTGTTAATAACTAATTATCTAGCTGTTTAAACCACAAATAACGAGAAGAACCGTCAACCTGGTACTTTGAGGAATCAATAGAGCCCAAATTCAATACAATCCGTTGCGTATTGAGAGAGAAAAATTACATTTCTTGATCATGAAAGAGTGTTTCAATGTGCATAATCTGAAATGTAACTTTTAAAAAAAAGTAATACATTGAATTGTCTGAAATTTGAACTCATAGTTTTCTCATTCACTCTTCTCATAGTTTTGCAATTATTGAGTTTTAAAAACTGATATTCATCATAAACGGCATTACATAACCTATAAATCTGCATATGCTGAGTGAGTTCATAATTTGAACTGTATATTTTCAGAAACCATGAGGAGACCAGTGTTTGTCTTTTTATTTTTGAGGCCCTGTCAACATTTCAGATAGCACAATGCAATTCTTTTTGAAAAAAGTTATATCTCAGATTGTGCACATTGAAACACTCTTTTATGATCATAAAATGTAACTTTTCTCTCTCAATACGCAATGGATTGCATTGAATTTGGGCTTTATTGATTCTTGAAAGTACCAGTTTCACAGTTCTTCTCGTTATTTTAGGTTTCAACAGCTAGATAATTAGTTATTAAGAATAATTCATCAAAATAGGGAAGTTGGTAAAGTAGAAACTTCGGCCGATGTACTGAATGCCCTTAAAGGCTGCCAAAAATGCGTGAATACTGAGGTCACTCACCAGTTCGATATGGACTGCTTTCACTGTCATACATATAAAAATGCATCCATACACTTTAATTTTTCCCTTGTTTCAATGCTTTTTTTCTTTTATGAACATTGGGCCGAAGAAATCTACACCCATGTGATAGAATGAATAAGCGCTACTAACTCGTGATTTTGTTAGGTCA